TTCAGGTGTGGGTAAATGATTGGAATATCGATCATTTAATAATTCTCTTGTTCGCTTAATGACGAATTGACCGTATAGACTATAGCACCAAAATTCGCGGCATCTAGTGCCGACTGGGATGTGAATGGAACTGGCATATATACTAAGTGACATATAAATCCGAACACCCAGTTTAAATGGTTTTATTTTCATAAAAGTTGGTGAATGTATTTATCTTACTGTAAATAACAAGTGAAAAATTTTTCAGCCTTATCAGTTGGACTTCGGGAAGCTGGACGTTCTTTTCGGGTAATTGCAGTTAGAGTGCAAAAAAGTGTAGACACTGTGGTTAGGTGTTGTCAGGCATAGCTTCGAGAAGGCCGTACGCAAAGAGCAAGGGGCACTGGACGCCGCCGTAGAACAACAGACCGTGAAGATCGCCGCCTAAGATTATTGGCTTTAAGGGACCGTTTCTCCACTACGAGGTCCATTGCAAATGAATGGTTTGCAGAACACGGAAGACTTATTGGCATGCGAAGTGCTTACCGACGAATGAGAAGTTTTGGCTTGTTTTCATACCGGCCACACTGGGTCCTCCCATTAACTCGAGAACACCGACGTAATCGCCTTGAGTGGTGCAGACAATGGTCACTCTGGGATCAGGAATGGAACAGTATTGTCTTTAGTGACGAGTCTCGATTTTGTTTAGGCATGCACGATGGTCGTGCCAGGGTTAGAAGGCGACGTGGTGAAAGGAAGAATCCACAGTTTTTTGTTGAAAGACATGTTCATCACACTGTTGCAGTTATGGTTTGGGGTGCTATAGCTTATGGTTCCAGGTCACCTTTAATCTTCATCAGAGGTAACATGAACGCACAGCGTTATATCCACGAAGTTCTAGAACCCCATCTTTTACCCTATCTTGACACCCTGGCAGATCCAACTTTCCAACAGGATAATGCCCGACCACATGTTGCAGGAGTCACAATAGACTTCTCTCAACATAATGATGTCACATTGTTACCATGGCCACCAAGATCTCCCGACTTATCCACAATTGAGCAGGTGTGGGATATGATGGGTAGGAGATTGCTCAATTTGCAACGTCCTCCTCAGACTCTACAAGCACTTCGAGAGGAGTTGGTGGTTGCCTGGAATGAGATACCACGGGAGGACATTGACCACCTGATCAAAAGCATGCCTAGGCGCGTTAGAGAATGCGTAGCACATCAGGGTGCATCCACACATTATTAAAGGTCAAAGGGCTTTAAAGCAGTGCAATCATTTAGAAATTTTTGTCATTTACTTATTATGCTTCATTAAGTACTTATACAAAATCTTATTAAAATAAAATCATTTAAACTGGGTGTTCGGATTTATATGTCACTTAGTTTAGTTTCAATTGACAGCAGCAATTTCGCTTCCCGGATATTATAGAACAAAACTACTAGTTATTGCCCATAAAAGTTTTGAACCGGTTATTTGATGCTTAGCGTCAACTATTAAAAATATTTCCCTTTTTAGAACTGCGTAATTCCTTTAAAATGTGCGTTTACTGATATAACAAACAAGCAATGCAATAAGTCAGCTAGCGCGCACCGAATATGCAAGTTTTGATTTTATTTACAATCGTTTGACATTTTTCAAGCAAAATTAGAACTTTCTTTTTTTTGTCACCCTAGTGTACGTGTACACGAAGTTACGTCAATGTCGTGATCTCTCAGTAATCGACATGATTTATTGAACGTAACCATAGAAGGTATCCATGGCAGCTCCCCATTGCGTATGACTTGAAATACTCGTTGGGAACATCAAATTCTGATAAGATAAGAGCAAATTTGGTTTGCACGCGCTCCGACTGTGACCTTGAAATAATTTCATTACGTTAAACACTCTGTATAGGTTACCCTGTGCAACATCATCTTAACTGAGTTATTCTCATTACCCTGCGCAACATCAAAGGAGTCAGGGACAACGTACACCTTCACGTGGAAAATTCTATAATGATACGAACGTTGCTACAACAGAAATTAAAAACGGAAACAGGTTTTTGCTTTAATCTATTTCTCTCGTTTCGGAATTTTCATAATTAGTTATATGGATGCTAATTACAACGCTCTCTGTGCGGTGCATGTCACAGTGCTTCGTAATTTTACAGAATAAATGTGTAATAATTGTATACAGATGTGGAGCTGTTGCTTTGGAAACGACTCCTGTACGGGTTCAGGCAAATTTTCAACCAGTAAATGTCAAAGTGTGGCATAAATGGCGCTTGATATCCTTGGGTAAGGTTTATTTTAAAGAATATGTCTTAATTTGTGAGTATCGTCGATAGAGGTCTAGATGTGCCTGTTAAGTCCGACATGGCTCCCATCATGATTCAGTCTACACTTCAATTTCCTTGAATACTGTTTCTCTTCAGTGGTGACATCGAATAAGTGTGAGACTACCGTTACCTTAGAGAGATTGTGGAGTTTCACTGCATAATATTCACAAGTGGTTTAGCAGCAATCAGCTCTATCTAAATTTTGAAAAATTATCAGTTGTCTAATTTTATAACATCCGGTAGAAACCTATGACACACAAGTAAAATTCTTGGGTTTATATCTAGATACAGGTTTAAATTTTAAAGACCACTATGTATATACAGGGTGTCCCAGAAGTCGACATCAAGCCGAAACCGGGTGATAGGCAAAATCATAACAGCTATCAAAAAAATATTTAAAAAAAATTTATGTATGTGTTTTGAAAATTATAGGTCTTTGAAAAAGATATAGAAATTTCACACCCTACGGCAGTCTGTCAACTCCTGTTACTACAAATATTAACTTTTTTTTGGATTTTATTTTTACAATGTAATGATGAATAATGCATCTTCAAACTGGTGTCTCAACCTTACTGCCAACTTTTCTCGTTCAGGAAAAATTGCCACTTATTTCCCAACGAAGTATTCCAAAGTAAAACTTTGCTCAACTTTAACTGGCTGTACTGGAAAAAATGTACTACGAGAGTTTGACAAGTAACCTTAAAAGTTTGCGCATTTAATAACGATTCCAAAATGGTATAACACTTAGAAGATTACTCGTTAACTTATGCACAATTTTTATTTGAAAAAAAAATGATGAAAATTTTTCAAAATTTCCTAATTAAACAGCGATTATGAAAACGCACAAGGACCCTTAAGGATAACTGTTTGCACAACAGTGGGCGTCAAAATGCTGCTGATGATGATTTACCTCTACAGCAAATGCTCAAACTGTTTTCCTTCAGCCGCAATACACGCTCGACATCTTCTTAAAAAAGATCGGGTTATTAAACGAGCGAATCCACGGTTATTAACAAACTCAGCTGCTTCCAATAGTCTTTGCCGTAGCTCAGCTACATTTTGAATCGGCTTGAAATACACTTTTTCTTTTACAGTTCCCCAGTAAAAAAATCTAAAGGATTCAGATCAGGTGATCGGGGGCCACGGTATTGTACCAGACCGCCTTATCCATCTGCGTGGAAAGCTTTGATCGAGATACTCTCTCACTGAGAGTGCATAGTGCGCTGGGCAGCCATCATGCTGAAACCACATGTCCCTGTAAATACTCAGTGGCACGTCCACCAATAAATTTTGTACATGATTTTTCAAAAAATTCAAATAAACTTCAGCAGTCAAAGTCTCTGGGAACTCAAACGGACCGACTATTTTACCATTTAAAATTCCTGTCCAATGATTTATCTTGCAGCGATATTGAGATTTATCTTCTCTCATCAAATGTGGGTTTGCTACGTGCCACTCGTGTAAGTAATGCAGGTTCATGTACCCATCTTTCATAAATGTGGTCTCATCCGACCATAAAATTTTTTCAAAGAACCGTGGATCTTTCCTGTGTCTTTCTAACATTGTGCGACAAAAAGCAACTCGGGGCTCATAATCCCGGGGCAGGAGAGGTTGAACACGCTGTATGTGGTATGGATGAAGCACATCACTTACTTGCTATTGCACACTTTGATACCGATCAGTACTCCTTCGTTTACTGCGCATCTTTACATGTTCGTGCTTGTTGATTTCGTACTGTTACTAATTTTGGATTCGTGAACTGGACTGTTGATCGCTTTTGATTTGGATTTGGACTGTTTAATTGCTCTTCAAAACAACAGTTGCTTTCCTTAGAATATATTTGATAGTGTGATTGTGCAGTGCCGCTATGTCCGTGTACAACGTACAAGAATATGCTAACATGCACCTCATTTATGGGGAATGCAGATGCAACGCTAGTGCTGCAGCGAGACTTTACTGTGAGAGGTAACCGAATGCAGCTCGTCATCCAGATCATCGAGTGTTCACAAATGTGCACCGCTTACTGTTCTCAGAGGGCCAACTACCAAATCAATCACACGGTGAGGGAAGATCTTTCCTTCCTTACGAAGACGTGGTGCTAGGAGCTGTCGAAGAAGACCCGAGTACTTCAGTGCGTGCAATAGAACTAAAAACAGGTGTGCCCAAAAGTACAGCCCATAAAATCTTGCAAAAAAAAAACGTGCTCCATCCATACTACGCACAGCGTGTTCAAGCTCTTCTGCTCCGGGATTATGAGCCCCGAGTTGCTTTTTGTCGCACAATGTTAGAAAGACACAGGGAAGATCCACGGTTCTTTGAAAAAATTTTATGGTCAGATGAGACCACATGAAGGGTTTCCAGCAAAAACCGCATTTGTCAAAAATTAGCATTTTACAGAAAACTAAAAAAACCTGTTATCTTCTTAGATGTTAATTATTTCAAAAGGCGGTTCCTGGATGGGTTGTAGATTAAAATGCATAATAAAACAATGCATGATGAAATAAATTTAAAAACGTTTTAACATCATAAATTAGATTTTTTTGTTTGACAAGTGCTGTTTTTGCAAGAAAATGAAAATGAACTTACAAAGAAAACATACTTTATTGAAATATGATGACAAAGTTCGCTTAAATAATAATCATTCGATGTTAAATATAAACTTAAACATATTCTAAATACGGGAACATCATTTTTTCTACTCGTCACACCCACTGCTGTTATCTTCGGGATCGATGTCGCTTAATTCAGCAATGTTTGATTCTGTTGGTCGTAGGGCATTATAGAAGCCGGTATGTTCTCTTTTACTCAGTACCTTGCTGAGAGTCTGTAGGTCTTTTAGTTTTAATGGATTAATGGCTAAAGGTTCTCGATATAACGGAACAAGTTGAAGTTCATTGGATAGAGGTATTTTATTTCGAAGTATGGATTGTCTCCATGGTCCACTATAACTGTCCCTTATTTCCAAAAACTTGTTTTTCGCCTGAATGCGATACATTCTTAACGATTTCAGCTTAATTGGAGGTCGAGGGTTCTTAAGAAAATATTTATCTGTGGATAATTTTACGTTAAAAAAGTGTTTTTGTTGTACCTTAATCAGATTAAATGGAGACGGATTGCTCCTGCAAGTCTGTATGATAGTATCCCAATGCTCGGGAATCTCTGCTACTTCAACCGCTTTTCGTTTTGAGATAATTGAAAAGTCTTGATCGTTGGGCAGAAATGAATGGCCACGTATCGGAAAAATATAGGTAATATTGTCAAACAACTTCAAACAGTGGACTAATAAATACATAAAATGCATCATAACATAATTTTTATTTTGTCCCGCGCAACCATCACTTATTAATACCAAGTTTCGAGAAGTGATGTCAGGAACCTGTGTAAAATAATGAAAAAGTAATGAAGTAACTTCATTTTGACCTTTTTTTGCTATTGTTTCATCGTAGGTGTACATTGTTGCACTATCATCTTTAAGATTATGGACGCCAAAAACGTAATACCAAAGCTGACGGCATCTGAACGCTAAGTTGTCCCTAATATGCGGTAAAGGTAAATTTTGCATAAAGTCGAAACAAACAACCATTGCCTCTCCATTTCTAGCCTTTTCTTGCCACTTTTTCTTCAAATCATAGAATGCTTTTGCTTTTCTCAAATGAAGCTCCTTTTCCGCTAGTAGGGGAGCTCTTGATTCGTCATTTTCTGCTGCAGCAATTTTTTGAATCAGAGAGTCGCAAGTTGAGCATGTATCAGTTCTCGGCATTCCAAATTTTATATTAAATTTCTTATGAAAAACTGTCCAATAAGCTTTATAGCTGACATTAATATGATAATCTTTTAAAAATGATCTGTACAATGCCCGAACACTTAGGGTCTCAGGGAGATAGTAACGATTTGGATTTTGCCTTAATGAATAATGAGATTGTCGAGGTCTGTATGATTTAATGTGATCTTCAACTAAATTTTGCAATTCACAAGGTAAGGCATTGGGTCTATTATCATGTTTACCGCGCCTGTCACAGGGTGATTTTGCTGTTTTACTTAGATGTTCCTGCATGCGTCTAAGACGCGCACAACTGATTCCGTGGAGACTAAGAAAAGCCTTCCTACATACGGGCACTTCTTTATAACAATCCCCAGATTGCTTTGTTCAAACTTTAAAAGCATAAGAACTTGAATGTTCATAATTTGGTAAAGTGATGTCTTCGTCTGAGTCGGAATAATCAACGAGATCGTTATTTCTTGCAGGTTTTCGCGACCGTCGTTGCTTTACTGCTTGTAATGTAATAAGGCCAGACAGATGTGAATCTTGTAAGTCTTTTGTAGGAATATTATAAAAACTTTCGAAAATTTCTTGTCTTTGCTCTGGCAGCACCGCATTGAAGCATTTGTGACGAACACACCTACGAGCGATGTAGAGGTTAGAAGGAATAAACAAGAGAAACAGCGTGAAAAACTTGCTTGCAATCCTCACCAATTTGCTTTTCCGGAACAAAAACGCCTTTATGGTTTAAGTGAGCAGCACCTTTAACTTTTTTTAGACGTATTAACTCTCTTTTCTTCAGTTGTTTTGCTCTAATTGTCGGTACAACACTTTGCGACGCGTCCATGTTTTAAACACTGTAACGAATCTTTAATTTCCTGCGAAAACAACACAGGTCAAGACAAGTGCGGTTTTTGCCGAACGATCCATGCTTTATCTGTATGAATAAGGCTGACAATTGCTGTTTTTGCTGGAAATATTTTTTAGATAACACACTAGGATTATTCTTGATACAATGTTGCCAATATCTCAAAAGTGGACAAATTTGACAAATGCAGTTTTTGCTGGAAACCCTTCACATTTAAGAAAGATGGGTACATGAACCTGCATAACTTACACGAGTGGCACGTAGCAAATCCACATTTGATGAGAGACGATAAATCTCAATATCGCTTCAAGATAAACCATTGGACAGGAATTTTAAATGGTAAAATAATCGGTCCGTTTGAGTTCCCAGAGACTTTGACTGCTGAGGTTTATTTAGGTTTTTTGCAAAATCATTTAGAAAATTTATTGGAGGACGTGCCACTGAGTATTTACAGGTACATGTGGCTTCAGCATGATGGCTGCCCAGCGCATTATGCACTCTCAGTGAGAGAGTATCTCGATCAAAACTTTCCAGGCAGATGGATAGGGCGGTCTGGTACAATACCGTGGCCAGCCCGGTCACCAGATTTGAATCCGTTAGATTTTTTTACTGGGGAACTGTAAAAGAAAAAGTGTATTTCAAGCCGATTCAAAATGTAGCTGAGCTACGGCAAAGACTATTGGAAGCAGCTGAGTTTGTTAATAACCGTGGATTCGGTCGTTTAATAACCCGATCTTTTTTAAGAAGATGTCGAGCGTGTATTGCGGCTGAAGGAAAACAGTTTGAGCATTTGCTGTAAAGGTAAATCATCATCAACAGCATTTTGACGCCCACTGTTGTGCAAACAGTTATCCTTAAGGGTCCTTGTGCGTTTTCATAATCGCTGTTTAATTGGGAAATTTTGAAAAGTTTTCATCAGTTTTTTTTCAAATAAAAATTGTGCATAAGTTAACGAGTAATCTTCTAAGTGTTGTACCATTTTGGAATCGTTATTAAATGTGCCAACTTTCAAGGTTACTTGCCAAACTCTCGTAGTACATTTTTTTCCAGTACAGCCAGTTAAATTTGAGCAAAGTTTTACTTTGGAATACTTGGTTGGGAAATAAGTGGCAATTTTTCCTGAACGAGAAAAGTTGGCAGTAAGGTTGAGACACCAGTTTGAAGATGCATTATTCATCATTACATTGTAAAAATAAAATCCAAAAAAAGTTGATATTTGTAGTAACAGGAGTTGACAGACTGCCGTAGGGTGTGAGATTTCTATATCTGTTTCAAAGACCTATAATTTTCAAAACACATACATAAAATTTTTTTAAATATTTTTCTGATAGCTGTTATGACTTTGCCTATCGCCCGGTTTCGGCTTGACGTCGACTTCTGGGACACCCTGGACTCAAAATCATCTTAAAAAAAATTTGCGAACGATCCTTCTTTATTAACTCAAATGGTTTTTTCTTTAGAAATTTTACAATCTAGGCCTCAGTCATAATTTGGAGTCATTTCTGCCGTAAATGTATCGTACACTGTGTCTTTTTTGGATGGAAATTTAGTCGACAGCGTTTACCCAAAGAATAAGAACGGTAAATTCCCGAGCAACTCGGGGAAGTCCCTAATTCACGCGCAGGGATTCACGAGATAGGCTGCTTTTGTACCAAAAGATTAAAATCGGTGGATCCGCGGTTTACTCTAAAAAGACCCAGCGAAGATGGCGCGCACCAGCCATACTCTCAACATAAAAAGATAAGGCGTTTCTTTTTATTTTGTTTTCTGTCCGGCCAGGAGAACATTTTGATCAATTCGGAAAATCAAGTCCAGCAGTGAATCCCTTTGCACAAAGTATTATTTTCTATCAGCGTGCGGGAATAACTCATTGTCGACACGCATCTGCGTGCAGAAAGTAGCATAACTTTGCCGGACAAGTGCTACTTTCTGCACGCAGATGCGTCTTGAAAGTGAGTACTTTCCGCACGCTGCTGGAAATGATCTTATACCTAAAAGTGTACTTTTCATCCGAAAAGCATCTTTCCGCACCTGTTAGGTAAGTAACTATTTCTATTCCTGGGCTTTCCAATTTCCTACCTTCAGCAGCAATGCAGGCATTCTAGTAGGTCGTGACCCCAAATCTTTCGCTAGAGAATTATAGTCTGTATATTTCACATTGAAAGAGCGTTCCTGCGAATAATAACGATGCAACGAATTTTGAAGCGCTCTTCTTACACCATCGTTCGCTAGGTTGCATCATCTTTTATTTTTCCACGTCCACTGTTATCAGAGTGGTGTGTCGGCTGCTTCTTAAATAAGCCCTTTTCTCCAGGGCACCCGCAACTCTTCAGTGTGTGTTGCTTTTTTCTGTCGCAATTTAGCTAAAAGGCATTACACGAGAAACAAATAATATCGCTATGTAATAGAAAAATTGCTCTACCCCTGTTTTTGAGTAGAAGTACATCCTATTTATAGAGGAAGTCGGCAAATCTACCATGTTCTTTTCTAATTCTGTAAAGAGTTGGCCATACATTTCGAGACAGGTCAAACCCAGGTGAAAATACAAGGCATTGAGTGACATTCTTCATTGGACTTTCCTAGCGACTCTAGTCTAAGTAGAGATTTCCTAGAATGTAGCCGTTGTTGTCTAGATCTGCAATGTCTTCGTCTATGCAGAGCCTCTGATTTTGGACATTTTGGAGCAATACTTTGAACCTACGAAGATTTTACGGTGAAATATGACTTAGTACTTAGTCGGGGTAGACTTGATGGGCCCTCTTATAAATCCCATTGCTTAGCTTAATTGCGTATCTACCTTTTTGGAAGACGAGCAGTATTCAGAAACTTTTGAGGTATATTGTTCCCCGTTTTAAGTTTCGCAGCAATCTTCGATATGTGTTGCTTGAAGGCTAATTTTCTATCAAGTGTAACTCCCAAATGTCTAGGGGTTTTACTGTATTTGCTAATTCTGTTAAGACTTGACCAGACATTTCGAGAGAGGTCACAACCAGGTGATCTTTTCAAAATACAAAGCATCGAGTGACATCATTCATTGGACGGATTTTAGGGGCCTGAAAATATGTCGAATTTCAAGTTGATCGCGTGGAGTTTTTGCATTTAAATATACTAAGTAACATATAAATCCGAACACCCAGTTTAAATGACATTTATTTTAATAAAAGTTGGTGAATGGATTTATCTTACTGTAAGTAACAAGTGAAAAAATTTTCAGCCTTATCAGTTGGACATTCCGGTTTTTATACCGCTTTTTTTTAATTCACTAACGCTCTAAAAATGAATATTTCAGCCGCAGTAAAGAATCAACGTTGGCGGATTTTGGTTCTTGACATCCTTTACGATCGGTTACGATGCCTAGAGTACGGAGACCTGTACGATTTCGTCAACTTAGTGAGTTTGATAGGGGCCGTATAGTGGGACTTCCGGAAGCTGGACTTTCTTTTCGGGCAATTGCAGTTAGAGTGCAAAGAAGTGTAGAGACTGTGGTTAGGTGTTGTCAGGCATGGCTTCGAGAAGGCCGTACGCAAAGAGCAAGGGGCACTGGACGCCGCCGTAGAACAACAGACCGTGAAGATCGCCGCCTAAGATTATTGGCCTTGAGGGACCGTTTCTCCAATACCAGGTCCATTGCAAATGAATGGTTTGCAAAACACGGAAGACCTATTGGCATGCGAAGTGTTTACCGATGAATGAGAAGTTTTGGCTTGTTTTCATACCGGCCACACTGGGTCCTCCCTTTAACTCGAGAACACCGACGTAATCGCCTTGAGTGGTGCAGACAACGGTCACTCTGGGATCAGGAATGGAACAGTATTGTCTTTAGTGACGAGTCTCGATTTTGTTTAGGCATGCACGATGGTCGTGCCAGGGTTAGAAGGCGACGTGGTGAAAGGAGGAATCCACAGTTTTTTGTTGAAAGACATGTTCATCACACTGTTGGAGTTATGGTTTGGGGTGCTATAGCTTATGGTTCCAGGTCACCTTTAATCTTCATCAGAGGTAACATGAACGCGCAGCGTTATATCCACGAAGTTCTAGCACCCCATCTTTTACCCTATCTTGACACACTGGCAGATCCAACATTTCAACAAGATAATGCCTGACCACATGTTGCAAGAGTCACAATAGACTACTTTCAACATAATGATGTCACATTGTTACCATGGCCACCAAGATTTCCCGACTTATCCCCAATTGAGCACGTGTGGGATATGATGGGTAGGAGATTGTTCAATTTGCAACGTCCTCCTCAGACTCTAGAAGCACTTCGAGAGGAGTTGGTAGTTGCCTGGAATGAGATACCACAGGAGGACATTGACCACCTGATCAGAAGCATGCCTAGGTGCGTTGGAGAATGCGTAGCACATCAGGGTGCATCCACACATTATTAAAGGTCATTCATATGTATAACCTTTCGTCAACATCGACATTTTTCCTTTATTTCACATTTTGGTTAGACATTCATTTATCTTTCTGGTATTATCACCGTAGTATTGTTAAGTATCGTCTTTTTTGTTGGATTTAAATTTGGCTGAAGAAACCAGCATGCATAGGCAAGCACATCGTCTACGTGTCCTATTTTGGCATCTACGTAAAACACGTCTACGTAAACGTATGATCTTCTCCTCCTCAAAGGTTTTTTACCAATCCAGATTGCAAACCTATAAGGAATTTTTATTTGTCATGAATAATTGTTACTTACCGATACGCTCCAAAAATAAACTAACTTTCAGGACATATTGCAGGTTAATATTAGGTAGCTCTGGATTCGTCTTCGAAGTAAAGAATTATTCAAGTACTTTTTAGAAGTGTGTTTTTTGTACTTTCGAGCCAACCATTTTCACCTCTTGGTCAGAGGCCTATCAGGTCCCTAATTTGGTCGTAGTTCCCAATTTTTGACAAAGGATTCAGCTCTCAAGGCAACTCAAACTTTGAGGACATCATTCAATGATGTAATTACTAAGATTTCACAAGTAAACTTTTCTTGGGTAGTAGCCGATCTTAACAAAGTACTGGTTGAGTACCATCGGAACGCTACTGGAAGTATGAAACTGTCAAAATTACTTTAACAAATCATATACAGGGTGACTTGTAATGTCACGTATTCATGTTAAGGGGTGATAGATTAGGTCAAAAGCAACCGATTTTGTCCTATCAACCAAAAGTTAACCATTTTGGAGTTATTTGAATTTTAAGTTTTTTATTTTTTATTCCGATTTCAGACGGGTAAAATTGAAATCCAAAAAAGCTACATGGTTGATTTTGAGTTTTTTGTTATCGTCGCAAAGCAAACATTCCAATAGCTCATAATAAGTAATAAAATGTTCAAAAGCTACAAACGTTTTAAAATTACGCTTTTAAAATGTATCATTTTTTTTTACTAACTTATTCGATAAAAAATGCAATTTTCTGTAAAAAATTTCCTAGTAATGAAATGTAAATAATATCTCTATCTAACAAGCTTTCATTTGAGGTATTAAGCGTTCAATTATCTGAAGTACATGCAGAAAAACAACAATGACACCCACAGAGGCTGGATTTTTAAGGAATTTGTATTACCTGTTTAAACAAGTCGTTACTGTCCTCAAAGGACTCGCATGTCATGATTGTTTTATGGCATCGGCTCGACGAGGAAGCGAGCGAGAAGAGCTGACTTAGTCGAGGAGTGAGAGAGCTGTTATTATTCATCATTGTAGTTACGGCATCGCCGCACGCCGAGTGAGAATTAGGTTTTGGTTGGTATCAACTACTGCGTACGCGCACACGTTTTACGCGCGATTATTATTTTCGAATTTCCCAGTTTATTTCGAGTGGTTTCTTTATCATCATGGCAGACGCAGAAGACCCGCCAGGACCTCGCCATAGCGAACACGGGATGCTTTTACAAATGAAGAATACGCAGACATAATGTTCTGTTATGGACTTTCTAACGGCGATTCTGCAGCTGCCCGCCGTGAATATCGGCAACGTTTCCCGAATCGCCGAACACCTCATGTTACTGTGTTTGACTCTGTGTATCGGCGCAGCCGCCAAACCGGACGTGTTCAAAGGCATCATAGGGATGCTGGTCGACCCCGAGTCTATCCTCCTGAAGATGAAGGGGAAATCCTTCGTGTGTTTCAGGAAGACCCTAATACGTCTACGCGCATTGTGGCTGCTCAGTTGTGTATATCACAATACAAAGTATGGTTTACTGTGCATGCTGCAAGATTATACCCTTATCACTACACGCATGTGCATGTGATTGAAGAGGGCGATCCTGCAGGATGATTAGATTTCTGCAGGTACATGTTAGATGCAGATACAGAAGATCCAGACTATTTTAAGAAAATTCTGTGGAACGATGAATCGAAGTTTCATAAGGACGGGATCACTAACTACCATAATGCTCATTACTGGGCTGATAAAGAAGCTTTAGACCCCCGAAAAATAAGACCGACGAGGTCTCAGAGCCGGTTTTCAGTCAATGTGTGGACGGGCATCATTGATGGATATTTAATTGGACCTCATTTTCTGTACGCCAATTTAAATGGAGAAGTGTATGAATACGTGACATTACAAGTCACCCTGTATATCACAGAAATGCGACATAACCGTTAATTCCAACGATCGTAATTCATAAATGTCATAAAAATCACTTGAACCACAAAAAACCGCGGACAACAAAAAGTTCTAAGATAAGCTATGAATACAAAACGTCTCAAGCGAATAAGAAAACGCGTGGTGCGGCACTGGAAATTCAGTTAATTTCTTGTTCTTTGATATCCACTCGGGCATCATACAAAGAGAGCGTAATAGAAAAGTGCGATTCAAAATTTCATTTGAGAGACACAAAGGCCGCTGCATTCAAGTAGAATATATTACGGCAACTTTATAAGCACAGCACACACAATAAACAAGTGAGCGAGAGTACCCTTGGGATGTAGCCTGAAAAACCAGGACGCGCCTTTATTAGATTTTATCTAGACACAGTGGATGCAACATCTGAAAGTTAGCCTGTGGTTTTCACCTTGATAATCCCACATATTTCTATAGTCAAGTGAAGCCACGTAACGTATGTCCTTTCCAAATTGCTTTAGTTTGTCCACCAACTGCTAATGACCATTTTATATTTTGACCAGACCAAGAGATACCCAAAACTGGCTTCGACAACGCAACATACCTCTTGTTCCCAAAAACGAGAATCCTTCAGACTTGCCGTAGAGAATTTTTGGGTTTTACTGTCTAGGAAGGTTCTCCATGGAATCTGGGAAGGCCAAGATGAAGAGCAATTAGGACTGCGACTTTACCAAAAACTGAGAGAAATTGAAAAACCTTCTTTATTGTAAATGTGTGAGCCACAACGGTGATCTTGTTCAGTACAGTGACTTTGACAATAACCTTTATTTGTCTGCCTTCCAGGTGACTTTCCGCTTGTTATTTCTTTTCATTTTCCTACAATAGAGCGAAAGATTTCGTGACATACTGGACATGCTTAAAGCCATCACGTCCAAACTTCAAGATGACACCACGCAAAACCAGCGTAACCATGAACGACCTGGGGTAGATTCCAACACTGAAAGAAGGACGAACGGCCCTCCAAAATGACCAGCGAGCATGAGGTTATATACTAAGACATATAAATCCGAACACCCAGTTTAAATGGTTTTATTTTAATAAAATTTTGTATAAGTACTTAATGAAGCATAGTAAGTAAATGATAAAAATTTCAAAATGATTGCACTGCTTTAGAGCCCTTTGACCCTGATGTGCTACGCATTCTCCAACGCGCCTAGGCATGCTTCTGATCAGGTGGTCAATGTCCTTCTGTGGTATCTCATTCCAGGCAACCACCAACTCCTCTCGAAGTGCTTCTAGAGTCTGAGGAGGACGTTGCAAATTGAGCAATCTCCTACCCATCATATCGCACACGTGCTCAATTGGGGATAAGTCGGGAGATCTTGGTGGCCATGGTAACAATGTGACATCATTATGTTGAAAGAAGTCTATTGTGACTCTTGCAACATGTGGTCGGGCATTATCTTGTTGGAAAGTTGGATCTGCCAGGGTGTCAAGGTAGGATAAAAGATGGGGTTCTAGAACTTCGTGGATATAACGCTGCGCGTTCATGTTACCTCTGATGAAGATTAAAGGTGACCTGGAACCATAAGCTGTAGCACCCCAAACCATAACTCCAACAGTGTGATGAACATGTCTTTCAACAAAAAACTGTGGATTCCTCCTTTCACCACGTCGCCTTCTAACCCTGGCACGACCATCGTGCATGCCTAAACAAAATCGAGACTCGTCACTAAAGACAATACTGTTCCATTCCTG